GTGAGAACAATCTCCTCTTTCTGAAAATGAAAGCTGCTTAAAACAGGTAAGATACTGATTATTCATGATCTTTTAAACCCACTTCTAAATAACTGGACTTTGTTTTTAACCCATAACAGACGTCTCTGTAATACAAATGACCTCATGCTCGGCTAAATATGATGTAATCTCACACTAGGAAGAGATGTGACCTAATTATGTGCCACTGACAGATGGAGGTGAAAGAAATCTTGCAACACTGAGCCGTAATTAACTCAGTTTAACCTATTGCATGACACACCAACTCGTAATCACCCTGCCGTTTACAGCCTCCTAACTTTTCCACCTCAAAGAGAGAAACAACATATGACAAAGTGTAAGTTTTCCCCACGTGTCAGCTCAATTATGTGTTTGTTACATTACTCCAGAGGTAGAACATCTGCTTGCAAACATCATTTAGCTTATGAAGACTCATTTCCAGAGTGTGTAAAGTTGCCAGTGTTTAGCTGTGTTGTGAAATGATGTGGAACATCTCCAGCGCCGTCTTGTATTGTGCCCAAAGCTTCAATAAAACAATGTTACCCAGCTGGTTGTGCACACATTAACCAACTCACCACAGCACTTGACTCCTCCATTATGCTATCTGACTGATTTTGTCTGGAAGAATGAATTCAGCTCAAGGAACTGTCATCTCTGTAATATCTGGGTTAGATCTCCAAGGCAGACACTAGTTCTTGTTGTCAGAAATCATCCACACCCAGTAAGAGGACAATATCCACGGGTGGATGGAATCATCACAGCTAATACGTTCTTACTGACATTTTCTTCTCATTAATGATCATTTCTGTTTTGTGGTCTTTTCTGGGGCAGAACAAACCGAAAAGGCAAGGTGAGGCAGCTTTATTTATATAGCACATTTCACATGCAGAGAAAACTCTATGTGCTTTCCATTAGCAAAAATAGCAAGAACGTTTACATCCACATAGCAGTACAATTAAAAAACACAAATTCATTTCAGATTTAAGAAAATGAAAGGGTGAGCAATTACAGTGCAGAAGGTGCAGCATAAGAAACGGTCATAAGGAAGATGATTGCATCTGTGCAGCATAGTAGCTAAAAACTGCTTCACCCTGTTTGGTTCTGACCTGGGGTTCTACCAGCGGACTGCTTCACAAGGATCTCAGAGCCCTGCTGGGCGTATTTACAGGAAGGAGATCATTCATGTATTTAAGTGATTTGAGAGATTTATTAACTAGTAGAAGCACTTTGAAGTTGATTCTGTAGTTAACTTGTAACCAGTCTAGAGCAGGGCTATTCCATTCCGGATCTCGAGGGCCAGTGTCCAGCAGGTTTTAGTTTTAACCCTGCTTGAACGCACCTGATTTCCATCAGCAGGGGATTAACAGGCTTCTGCAGAGCCTGATGAGCTGCTGCAGGTGATTAAACCACTGAATCTAGTGATGGAGCAGAGAAAACGCTGAAACGTCCATGGATAGCAGCCCCCGGGGCCCGGAATTGAATACCCCTGGTGTAGAGATTCAAGACCAGTATTTGCTCGGTTCTCTTGGTTCTTTAAGACTCTAGCAGCAGCATTCTGAATAAGCTGCAGTTGCTTCACAGCTTTTTTGGAAAGACCAGTCAAAAGACGATTGCAATAGTCCAGCCTGCTGGAGATGAACACATGAATAAGATTAAAAAGCAGTTCTTATTCTTCCTTAGCTAAATACGATTTCACCTCAAAATTCTACCCGTGCACACCAAAATGTTCTTTCCTACAAGATAATCATTTTCAATGTGAAAGCTGAAAACTATGTCCCTGCACTCAGAGGGACTTGTACAAAAATATGTTACTCCTACGTGAGCCCTCCTCTCAGGCTTTTTGGTTTGCTTTGAAATGACCTTGTCAACATTTCTAAATACTAGAATGTTGCTGCTGTAGTAGCCTGGAAAACACAGCACATGGTGACTTTATATGACTTCTACACATCAAGGGGTCTGACACTGCATTAATGTACCAAACATCATTTTTATACAGTCGTCCTGTGTTTGCTTTTATTTGAGTAACAATAGATGGGATACGCAAATTTTAATCCTGAATTGTAGATGCCATTGATTCATGCTGGATGTCCTACCTTCTTTTGCATCCTTCTTGCTCAGTTTTGGTTTTTGGTTTACAGAAAAGAAATATCTTGTGAAATTTTGACTTTAGCACAAGGACCTATAGCTTCATTACATCTGACCAATCAGAACGTTCTGGTGGAAGGGTGTGTTAAAAGGATGGTGCCGATTAAACATGATGTTAGAATACAAAAGCTGAACTGGATAAACGTATATATTATATATTTTTTAAAGTTCAGTTTTGTAGAAATAACTGTGTTTAGTCTTTATTTACCAAAGGGGGGAAGCTCAAAATCCCATTTATTCACAGCTTCATTTTGTTCATTTTTCTTTCACCATGGCCACTACAGCTCAGCCTTGAACAGAACCTTCCTTTTTCTCATGCATGTTCAGATGCTCGTCAGTGTGTTGTGGCTGAAACTAAAGCAGCTGCACTGCTCCTTTATAATAATTGTTTTCATTAAATAATGATGTGCGGAAGCTGCTTTCTCAGCTTAGAATTTATTCTTAAAATTAGCTTACTTCTTCATTCTTAGTCAAGTTTAGGTCTGAAATGAAAAGAAAACAGTAAGATTGAGAACCGAGGGTTGAAATCTCAACTAGAAAAGGGTGGGATGTCAATCTGCCTTAGAGGGGCAAGATCCTAAGCCTGTAAAAGGAAAGGTATAATACAATATATGATACAATCTTACAGTTGGTACTATTCAGATGTCATTTTATTGTAAATATGAATTATTTTTGTCAGCCTGTGTTTATAGCCAGAAATGAAATGGTCTGTCAACCCCACCTCCAGCAGCCTGAGCTCCACCCAATCATTACATAACCCACAAAGCATCATGGGCCACCACAAAGCAACCTCCAGGGGAGGTGGATTTCAGGTCTGCTAGCTTCATGGGGAGGAGAAAAGCCTGATGATGCATTTAGTTTCATTCTTCTAACTGCAGGTTTTTCCTCAGAATCAGAAAACTTGCAGATGAGACAGAAAGCAGCAAAAAACCAATCTGAATAATGCAGCAGAAATCATGAGTCATCAGACCAGGCTACATTTTCCCAATCTTCTATTGTCCAAATTTGGTGAGCCTGTGCAAATTGTAGCCTCAGTTTCCTATTTTTAGCAGACAGGAGTATACTGGACTCTGGATGTTTTCCCTTTTCGGACCACTCTCTGTAAATGCTAGAGATGGTTGTGCTTGACGGTCCCAGAAGATCAAAGTTTCTGAAATACTCAAACCAGCCCGTCTGGCACCAACAACCGTGCCATGTTCAAAGTCACTTAAATCACCTTTCTTCCCCATTCTGAAGCTCGGTTTGAACTGCAACAGTTCGTCTTGAGCGTATCAACATGCCTAAATGCACTCAGTTGCCACCATGTGATTGGCTGATTATTCATTTGTATTAATGAGCTGTTGGACAGGTGTACCCAGTAAAGTGGCCAGTGACTGTAGAGTTCACATGCTCATGTGGGGGTTATGTGGCACACTGAGGCTGATGGAAGAGGGAGCTTCTAACAAGTTTTGGGTTCCACCAGTGGTGAGGGAGACCTGGAGGCAGACCCAGAACTTCCTAGAGTGAGTGTATGTCTTCTCTGGTCTGGAAACAGTTTAGGATCCTCCAGGAAGAGTCGGACAGGGATGTCTAAACTCCTCTCCTGCATCTGTTACCGTGGAAAATAGACAATGTATGGCTAGATGCCTTGAACTCAACTGAACTCAAGGCCCTCTTCTGTGTTTCTGCTTCTAAATCTGAATCCATTTTTTACTAGCCCATCCTTAATTATCACAGCTGATACAAGTACACACAGTACAGTGACTCAAACTGGTTCACTACTGTAGATCTAGTGTTCGAAGCAGGTCTGTTCAATGGCCACTAAAAAAAGCCATTTTCATTTTCACTTTCCGTTAAATCTTTTATAAAATAGTTTATTTTGGCCATGTTTCTGGTGGATGCTGATTCTCTGGTAGCTCTGTGTTATACAAGTTCTTGTTTCATAGTTAACAATAAACAGCAGAACATTTTCATTGTTTTGTGACCATAGGCGGAGAGCTCAGCTGATGAAATTTAGACTTTTCACGACATGCAAACATTACTTAAGACACCATATTTTAGGTATGAGGATTTGTACGTGACAGATTCAGATTGTTTGCAGTTTGCGTGATAATACAGGTAGTCATGATGCTTTAAAAGTGGGACTACATCACTTGTTTTTTCTGTATTCTTACACATCTTGGAAACCCGATTACAGTCTGCTCTCTGTCACATCTACGTTTTCTAAAGGGTTAGATGTGGGGATTAGGGAAATCTGATTCTCACAGACACACTTGTCCTGTAATGAAAAGCTTGAATGTTGGCTGTGTAAGTGTGTATCTGGGGTTAGATTTTATGCTGAAAATGCTATTACTGCAGAGCAACAGGGTGAAAGAAAGCATTAATGCATTAATATTTGTAGTGGGTCGTCCGTGAATTTAGATGTTTAAGTTGAAGCATGAGCAGAGCTAAAATTGTCCTAAATCAGCTTTTGTGCTAATATTAAGATTTTTACTTCTATAACTATTTCCAGCAGCTATAATGCAGCTCTGAACCCATTTCCAAAACAGTTTTGATCTTGGTCACACCCTCCTGCATCTAATCAACACAACCATCCTCACACAATAAAACCTAATGACCAATGACACCTCAAGAATGGAAGGAGGGATACTCACAGGTAGTTTCTGCTCGTTAAGAAACAATAGACAGCTTGACCCTCCCATAGTCATGTATGACAAAGCTCCTCGGATGAGATATAAAACGTCTTCAAGGATTCAAAGAAGTCCAGTTGCCTTCATTTGAACCCATTTGGATTTCAACTAATTATCACATTTAATTCTAAATAGCTTATTTTATCTGTTTTTCATTTCTCTCTACAGGCTGTAGAAACCAACCTGGCATCCAAGGACAGTCACTGGGTGTACGCGAATGAGGTGAGGCCAAACACAAACACACATTAGCCTATTTTACACATGTAACAGTAATGCCTTCATCAATCTTTTAAAGTGACTGCATTCAGTAGCGCAAACACTGACCACTTGTTCTGTCATGTTCCTCACGCTTCATTGAGACATTCACGAGAGAGCGACGGAGCAGGCCGCTGTGCACCAAACTGTATTAACATACATGCTTGATTTGATAGTAAATCAAGTGAGGTATGTAGATATGGTTGATCACTGCTGCCATGCTCCTCAGTACAATGTGTGACACAGTCAAAACAATTCATAACAGCTTCTGAAATGAAGACTGTGTAAATTCTAGCGGCAGTATTTGGAGGTAGCTGGAAATTCTCCTTTTACATGTCTTTAAGTCTACTGGACAGTCCGTGTCATTGAAGTGAAAGGAAATCCTTTTCTATTTACTTCAAAGTGCATTTTATTTTTGTCTAAAAAAGGACAAAAACGGGTCATAACTGAGGGGGATTTGGTGCAGTTGTGTTTCTGCACCACAGTTTATTTTTCCTTTTGAGCAGCTAATCTCAAAAGTTGTCACTGTGGACATGTCCACCTTTGTGAATGCAACGGTTTTGATTTGTTCCTTGTCGAAGGCGATAAATCTGGTCGGATTTCTGTCACAAAACATCAAAAAGAAGCATTTGATCTTTGTGTCTGAAAATATTGGTCATCACAAACATGTTACCCTAAATGCTTCATGTTGTGCTGGAAGCAGTTGTTTTTATCTTGTTTCAATCAGACTAAATTACCAATTTTGGGCTCTACATAAAACACTAAAAAATGTTCAGAAACATTGGATTTCTACCATTTAAAGGAGAAATATTAAGCAAAACTCTCCTTTTGCATCATTTTGTGCTACCATGGGAATCTCTACTGCCTCTTTAAAACCTTCCAAATGTGAACAAAAACCTGTCGGACCATTTTCTGTCAGTGTTTGGTCGACTTGGCGGATGCTTCCTTTTGCTCATCAGCCAAGCCTAATGTACGAAGTTATAATTCATTCAGTTTTAAGCTTTGATTCACACATCAAATCCATCTTTTGGTCCTGTTTCTTTCACATAAGAAACATCTCAAAACTCGGTAAAGTGGTTTCAACTGCACATCTAGAAAACATAACTCTTGCTTTTGTCTCATTGCATGTTTGGACTACTGTAATGCTGTTTTTACTGGTCTGAATAAATCATTCCACTTGCGCCTTCAAGCCATAGCAGCCAGACCCCTAACCAAATCCAACATTGTGCTCACCTACTGAGTTGTGAACGGCCAGGCACCTGACTACCTACCATAGCTTTTATCCCCACATCCTACCTGACGCAACCTTCAGCCCACACATCAAAACCTGCTAGCTGTTCCACATACACTGGACTAAAAACTAAGGGAGACAGAGCCTTTCTGGCTCCCAGACTGTAGAACAGTTGGCCCATGAAACATCTCTCAGGCTTTGTGAAGGTTTTCCAAACAAACATTTGAAAACTACTCATTCAACCAAGCCTTCTCTGATTAAATGTGTGTTAACTTTTGGTTTTGCATACACTTTTATCTTTACCGCTGTTTTTATCCTGTAATATTTTCCTTTTCATGACTTTGATAATGCTTTTTTCTACTTTTGTTTCTACATTTTCCTTGTTTGATATTTTAGAGATGGAGCTCCTCCATGTTCACACCTTTATTTTTTCAGTTTTTACTTATGTTGTGCAGTACTTTGGGATTAAACTATAAGCAAAATGTACTCTGTAAATTCACTTGACTAAATTACTTACTTGATTTCAGGATTTGCAATCCTAAAATGAGCTATGTCAAAAAGTCCCTGTTTGTGAGGAACCATGGATCCGCTGATCTCAGTCAAAGACTGAGTGTATGGCTGAATGGTGTTCGACAGATAGGATGGAGCCAAGGAGTTTAATGCTTTAAACACAAATAAAAGGATCTTAAATTGGATCATGAACAAGATCAGGAGCTAGTGCAGAGATTCCAGAACTGGTGTGATGTGGTCCGATCAGAGCGCACCAAGAAACGCGCTGCAGCATCTTGCACCAGTTGCAAGCATTCCAGGGTGGCCGGTGAAATCCCATAAAGCAACTCATCACAGTAGTCCAGAACGCGGCCTGCTGAGGTCATTTGTTTTGTGCTGAGGCAGGTAAAGATTTAACAGTAGCCCTCGAGAACTGGAGTTGGTGACCAGTGATCTAAACCAAGGAAAACGTGTATAGTTCCAGGACAGATTTTAGCTTAATATTTAATGTTCATACATTGAATTTACGTTAATAATGTTTCTAATTGGCTGTAAATAGTTATTGTTTTTTAAGCACTAGGGTTGAGTGGGGGAGTAGGTGGGACTTATTCAGCTTCAAACAAGAGAACAATCTGATACCAAAAACACAACATGGCAGGCCTGTGAACGGGTATGTTTGTTCCACTTTTCCACAACAGCAGGAGACGGCGATGCCTTGTTACATACATGTCGATGCTCTGTACCAGTGTCTTTTAAAGTGGGTGTAAGAAAAACAAATCTAGCAGCCGTTCCTGGGTACAGAACAGTGGAATAACATGGATCATTTGCTCAAGTGCCTCTGCGCTGCGCTTCCACTGATTCAACATGATTTAACAATGGCAGTGGTGCATGAGGTTATTTCAATACTAAAAGCATGGGGAACAGATGCAGGGTACACAATCACTCCTAGATCATTTGTTTTTTACTAAGAAGCTATGTCAAAACCCACAACTCACAATATGATGCATAATGTTTCATGATCTTAAAGATGTTCTTTAGGAATATGATGAAGAAACCAGCTGTCTTTCATGCTTTATTTAAAACACTGGCCAAGCAGCATTTCTGCGTACTCCAGTAGTTTTCATATTGATTTAAGATGTTAACGAAGTGTGTTGGAAACCTGCCAATCAGGAGTCTAAATTATAGAAACTTAGATGAAGTTTATCACTGAGTTTTTACATTAAATGCAAATCTCACATTTGAGCATGAATAATACTGGATTAATTGTTTCTAAGAACCTATTGAAATATCTTTTACATTTTTTACCTTAAATTTATTTCTATTTTCAGCTTTTTTTCAACTCAAAGACATAATGACTTCTGCAGCTGAAACCAGTCGTCTCAGTCAGTTACAATAGATCCCCATGAAAAGATGAGCATTAATTTAATCAGAATCTGACAAAGAAAAAACAAATGGCTTTTTAATCCTATGATCGGGGCTTAATGGTTGATATGATGTGGCTCACTGCAAAGTAATCTCTCCACGGTGCACACTTAGAGGAGATGAATGTGCGGCTTGATAAATGAACAACAAAAGACTGTTCTAGTTAGATCTGGACAAGTGGGTTTAAAATATCTTCAGAAGTAAATGTTTATTTGTATTTTTGAATATTCAAATGCTTTTTAAAAGATAAAACAACAAAAGCTGAATAAACAAACAATACAACTTCTCTGAAGGCAATAATCATTGCATCTCTAGTATAAATTAGTTTGTCAAACTACTTAACAGGGTGTGCCTCTTCATTATTTCCAGAGTCACGTGACCTGAACTGAGCAATCTAATCAATAATGGTTTTCTCTGTACAAAAAGAAGCTGATTGTTTCCAATTCTTTGGGTGAATATAAGAGCCGTCTATGAGAGCTTCTGAGGCGATTTGATCACAAAACCATTCCAGAGGCTAGAAGATGTTAAAATTCTTGTTTCAGCAGTCTTCAACTTTATTGAGGAGCTCCAGAGTTAATAAACTGGAGATTGCAGCTTTTTAGACTGAAACGTGTCACTCGTTGTCTAAAGTGACCAGAATAATGATGATACATTTTATTTAAAAGCAGCTTTCATGATACCCAAGGGCACAAATAAACGCATAGTACAGAAATATATAAAAACAGTAAAATGTTAAAACTTTAAAAACAGTCAAATTAAAACTAGGGGCTAAAAGTTTGTCTGAACTGGTGGGTTTTGAGTTTTCATTAAAAAAAGTGGGAGAGTGGTGCAAAGGTCAGGGGGAAGATAATTCCACAGGTGGGGAGCAGAAGAGTGACAAAGTGAGCAGACAAATGTGGCGATGTGAACAAGATCAGATGGAGCCAGGTTATGAAGAGCTTTGAATGTGATGAGAAGAATTTTGAAAGTGATCCTTTGTTTAACAGAAGCCAAAGGACTTGTTCCAGAACGGGGGTGATGTGATGAGAGGTAGGGGTTGTAATGACATGTGCTGCAGTTTCTGGAGGGATTTGTTGGGGAGACCAAAGAGAAGTGAGTTGCAGTAATCAATCCTGGACGTGACGAGGATGGCAGTAGCTTATTCTTACTTTTATCTTGTTTGTTTTTATCTTTCTATTTGTTTTGCTTTGGTGTAAAGCTAATTATGTGTCTGTTGCTGCTGCTCCTTGGTCAGATCATCACCGTCGTAGAACAATGAGTTCTCAATCGACTCATCTGGTTAAATAAAGGTTAAGTAAAATAAAAGCATGCATATTAACAGATGGATGGAGACGGGAGATGTTGCGTAGCTGGAGGTAGGCACCCTGGGTAATATTATTGATGTGAGATAAAAAAGAAAGAGTGCTGTCAAGGATGGCAGGAATGATTGTTGATTTGTCAACAGAGAATGGGAAACTGTTGGATTTGGAGAGAATGTGAGGTGTGTTCACAGGGAGGACTTTGGTTTTAGAAGTGTTCAGTTTAAGGAAGTTGGAAGTTAACCAGGAGTAAATTTTATGTACACAGAAAGTCAGTGAGGAAAGTAGAAGATAGGTAGAGGGTTTGGTAGGGAGGTAGAGCTGGGTGTCATCCGCATATCAATGAGAATGGATGTTGTGTTTCTGAACAATGTAGCCGAGTGGAAAAAAAAAAAGTATAGTATGAAAAGGGGCCCAGGACAGAGCCCTGGGGCACACCAGCAGAAACAGGGAAGTGATTCATGTGATTTTAGTTGAACAAAAAACATGACTGAAAACAAATCCACAGTTTAAAAGTGACCATAATT